TTACTATCGCTATGAAGGATATCGTTTCTATTAAAATAATTGGGTTAATATTCACATTAACATATTTTGCATTGCATTGTCATCAGCAGCATTATCAGTATTTAAACTATAATAACTGTTCTCACTATCATTATGCAAATAAACCCTACTATCATTATCACAACCAATGTCAAAATGAATACCAAATGTGATTAAACTTTATTTCAAAAGATATTTCATTTCCAATACATCAAATCTGATGTCGCGATGGGCAATACTCAGGTACGGTTTACACTCCACAATAAAACCAGGTGAAGGAATTCCCCAGTGCATGCGATTCACCTACTAGAAATATCCGAACCAGCTGTTTGGTTGTTACTTATGTTATATACTATTTTCACCTTTAGAGCCTTATTTTGGTTAAAACTTCCCACGGAGTGTCTGCGCCTAATTGTCAAGTCTTGCTACTTCTCTTCGACTGCAGTTATTTATCGAAAGGAGAATCCTGTCCGACTCCCTTCCCCGGAGCGAGAAACATCCCGATCCTTGTCGGCCCTGTGCTAGCTAGCTGCTCGCCGGTCATGGTTAGAATTTGCATATATATCAGCAGGGCAGCTTGCAAATATGAAATTATAAGAAAAAAGAAAGCAAGAAATATACTCAGTAGAAATTAAACCTGAATGCTAAACTATGTAAAGCAGATATAATAAGCTGGACTTAGGGGCCAACGCAGCCCTAATTATAGACTTCGTTGTTAAAAATTCTTTCAAACTACAAGATGACATATTCTTATATAAAGTATCTATTTCTTGTTTTCGTCATATTAGAATTAGAGGTGCTAAAAAGATTTTATGTAAATGCAATACCCCGCTTCTTGGATTTAAAGAATCCAAGTTGATTGAAAACAGTGAACACACGATGCATTAGTGTGTCTTTATACCTCCAGATGTTTTTGTCAAGAACGGGATTATCTCTGTAATTTTCGCCACAGGTCTTTCTAAGTTCTGGAGGACAGTCTAGGCGATAGTGTTGCAGATGCGCGTCTTTTGTGGGGATATAGTAAGAATAACACCCCTTTCCTAAGCACGAGAAGGGAAAGTGATTGTGGAGTGTGAAGACACTCTGGGTGTCGTGGAAGCACTTTGCATAAGCACCTGGTTTGGTGTAGTTCCTGGCTCGGTACACGTGCTGCAGCATGTGCATGTATCGGGGGATATCCTTGTAAAAGCCGTGTCTCTCTTGCATGGAGTCCAGGAAGTACACATTGCGCGCAGCGAAGGAGGTTCGCGGTTTCTTGTTGGCCTTGAAAGCGTCTTTGACCAGGGCTTTCATCAGTGCTTTCCAAGACGGTAAGTTTCTAGGAAGGATAATCTCGTCTATGTCTAAGAGAACCACGTACTTGTAGCTGTAGATGTTCTTGTAGAGGCAGTCGTTGTAAGGGATGAGTTCATTGAGCCGTTTATTGCCGCCCTTCTCCTTAAGGTACTTGTGTGTGAGTTCAGGGATGTTCGGCTGGTCTCCGGGCAGGGTGAGTTTTGTCAGGTCCAAAAAGCCCCTCTTCTGGTAGTAGGTAAGAACTTTACTAATATTAATGTGGACATCAAAGGTATAGATGAATACTTTATTGGCCCCTAACAGAGAAAGCATTTCCAACCACTCTATCAGCCGGACAGTGTAATTTGCACTCGGTAGGTCGAGGCCTTTAACGCACACAGCAAAGTCTTTCATTTGACCTTCTGGTGGGTGATTTTTAACAACTCTGAGGTTTGTTGTGGCTGTGTCGCACGGCCGCTCTACGAGGGATACAGACTCTGGCACCTGATGTACATAGGCAGATGGCACTTGGCACGATAATAGATATGGTTGTAGCACGCCGTTTTTGTATTTGGCAAACGCCCTATTCCAGATATATTTGTACTCAGACACCTGTGCGAATACTGGTTTGCTTGTTCCGTTAAACCAAAGTTGGCAGGAAGTATTGAGTTTGGGATCGAAGCGGTTCAGCATCCCCAGGACGCGCACAGCTGGCCGCTTTGCCAAGGTCCTGTTGTCATGATAAGCGCTGAACAGGTAGAAGGTGCCGTTGGAAGTGTCGAACGTCTGCCACTGGCCGTTGTTGAAGCGGATCTGGTACAGAGACGGATACTTGGCACAGGTTTTGTTCATGCCCATACCCTTGTCTTTCTTGAGCCAATAACGAGATGGCAAGTTGGGCACGGCCTCTTGGAGATCGTGGACGGCGTCATGTTGTTTAGACCAATCGATATCAAGGTCAAGGCTGAAGAAGTTTGAGTTCATACTAGAGTTTGTAGGAAATATCTTGAGATCAAGGCTGGTTGGATGGAAAGCCGTGGTTGCCTTCGACGGTCCCCTTTGGAGGCTAAGATTATCTAGACCAAGAGTCACACTGGAGTTGAGACCGATATTCTCATGCTTACCATTAGAATATCCATGCATTATGAGATTATGTCTTCCTATCCGCACCTGTCGATTCACTACATTACTCTCCTGTCCTACAAAT